GGGAGATGGGGTGGCTTACCTGCCTGGGTGGGGTCGCCGGTGTCGCTGCTGGTCGCCGGTGTGATTTGTCATTGACCATTAGTCACAAAGCACTGGTGATGGCGAAGGAAGAGGAAGAGCGCCGAAGAGAGAGAAACGTAGGAAAAGAAAGAAAAAAGAAGCTCACTGGGATCAATCAACGAAATAAAAAATATATATGATGGGAAGGAGGGAAAGAGACTCCCGTATGAAGTATGCTATTTCCTTGCTTTGCTGAGGACTCTCAGTATATGATTCAACTCTCTGATTAGCTTAGTTGTTGAATTCGAGGGAACTCTGATGAACAATTAGTGAAAGGGTAAGGGTAGGAGGAATGGAGTAGGCTATATGCTCGGTGGAGTTCCTATGCTATTACTCAAAAACAATTTAGCGTATGAATCTATAATGACCTCTGATATTGGAGAAGCTAAAGTGCATAAATTGGGACTTGGACATGATAGATAATGGGCGTTATACTTGACTCTGATTTGTAAAAAACTATTGTAAGTGTGAGAAAACTGCTTTCGCCTCACTAATAAGGGCCCTTGTCCCCGAGTAGGGGAAAAAAAACAAGAAAAGACAATTCATTAGTAACTCCAGTAGAAACCGTAATAGTAACAGAAACATAACAACCAAAAGATAAATGACATGCAATAACAGTAACCAGTAACTAAGGCTCGGGGCTAAGATAAACAACAATGATAGTGTTCATATTTAGACTTCTATTTTCTTTTATTTTCATTTTTGAAACTTTCGGAGGCATAATTATTTAAATATATTCTCAAAACGCTTAATGCTTATTACATAGTGTTAAATGATTCAAAGTCCGGATTCAAAAGCCAAGTTCACAGTTCTGTTACGTATTTCTGTTGTTCCTAAGCTTGAGGACTATCATCTTTAACAGAGTTGATTGTATCCCTTCAGTTTGGTTCATTTCATGATACTGGGGGAATCATGCCTTCTCATTTTAAGGGCAAGGGAAAAGACCAGATGTATTTGTTTGAGTATCTGAGATTTGCCATTTCTTCTTTATGGTGAGCGGTGACTGTATGCGTGTGAATTGCCATTTCTATGGCAGGTAACTTTGACTTTTTTCACTTACCATTATTTTCTGATTAAGTTTATTAGCAATTTACTTCATTTGGTTAGATATTGTTCCTTGTTGTACTTGTGTCACGATCCAAAATTTCAACCAGTCGAGGTCGTGATTGCCCTAATGCAAGCCAACACATAACAGATAATACAAAAAGAATAGCAATTTACGACTAACAGCAAGATAACAATATAAGTAAAACAACTCGAAAGGTATACATAATAAGTCTAGAACCAACATCTAAGCAAATTATCCCAAGATATGGAGTCACAAGTACATGAGCTTCTAGAGTTTACTACGTATACTATTTTTAAAGAAATACAATACTATCTAAAAAATAGAAATAGGAAGGTGACTCTAAAGCCTGCAAACAGAATGCAGCTCTACCTCGAATCACCCGTTTGGTATCCGCTAAGAACCTTTGGGTCAATTCACACTGGTTGTGAATGTCTTAAGTCTGCTAACTGATAGGAGTATGATTTTTGGATGTTCATAGACTTGATCAATAATAGAGTTCCTTTATGAAAGCAACATAGAGATTTTACATTTATGTCCTTGTCACGCAACGTTCAATTATATGTCGTTGGTTGAAACATAATATTAAAACTGTGAAAGTCTTTATTTTTTCGCGAAAATATTATTTATCTCGTTGGAACTTGGAAGTTATAAGTTTGTTTTCATACCAAAAAAAACCATTGCCCTCTTGTTATAGCCATTGAAATTGTCAAATTTTATGATTTTGGAAAAAGTTTTCCAAATCAAACAACTTCAACATTCTTGCGAGCAGGGGCGTAGCTATAGCATACGATATATAGGTTCGACCTAAATTAGTATTTTTGATCCAAGTCATGTATTTGTCTTAAGAAATTCATTGAATATGTACAAATTACTCATTTAGAATCTAGTAACTTAAACGAATTATAATTTTGAACTCAGAAACTTCAAATTCTGGTTTCGCCTATGCTTGGAAGGAGTGTTTAAATTCAATGTCGTACGCCACATCCAAAGAAGGCCCAGCTACCTTTGTGTCGGCGTCGAAGGCAGAAGTACTGTTGCACTTGTATGTAACAAGTAGAATATTCCAAGTGATGAGGGCATAAGTTGTTTCTTTCCTGTGGTGGGGAGAAATTTTATTTGACAACAGTGAAGAGTACAAATTTTTGATGCTTATGTTAGTAATCCTGTGTTCAAAAATCAAGAAACCAAAACCACAACAAACTGAAAATTGTTATGATAAAAATCAAAATATGGTGGATGTCTACTCTTCCTCCATGATCTTTCTCTTAAATGGTTAATGACATATTCAATGACATATTTTCTATGTTCAATGACATATTCCATGACATATTTTCTTTACTTTTCGTGCCTATATAAAGGCTTTGTAATAGATAGGAAAATACGCACAATTTAAGAAGAAAATCTCTTCCTTTCTCTCTATCTCTATTTCTTGTTCATGTTTCACTAAATTGTCTTTATTTCTTGTTCATATTTTACTAAATTGCTTTTATTTCATAACACGTTACCAGCACGAGTCTCTAACCAATTGTATATATATATCTACAAAAATTTTCCTACATCCAGAAAGATTACAATTAGAAGCCATACATATCATCACATGGTTAAATGTAAAGAGAAACTACATATGGTAAGTAATGAAATGTAAGAAGGTATGATTATCTTATACTTGTCATTCCTTTAAAATCTCATATGCACACAACTTCGTACTACACTTGTATTGCATAAGCACATATTAATATTACATCTTTTATATCACATGAAT